ATTTGTTAGAAACAGATTTGGTAGATAATTTTTTTCAACCACTTCTCTTTCAAACAAGTGAACTGTTAATTTTGTGAACTCCAAAGGTCTGTTAGACTTGTTTATTTTAGGCATTATTTTTCTCCTCTTTTTTTAAAACAGTGAACAAACATCAGTTTTAATCCTTTCTGCCTTTTTTCATCTTCCTTTAGTCTAGCTCTGTAGGTCATTTCACCAAAGGGCCTGAATTCACATCTATAAATCAGGGATATTAGATGAGACTTTTCTGTTTCTTTTTTGCTGTGATATTTAATATGCTATACCTCAGTTGGAGGGATAGGGAGATGGATTCTGAAAATGTGAAAATAATGTCACTGTTCATATCCCAAATGAGTAGAAAATATTATCTAAAAGAAGGTTAGTAGTGAGTTAGAAGATAATCACCAACAATGTGTAGACCAATGCTTTTCAGCATTACTAAGCCAGGTTACTTTATACTTCTGAGTGGTGTAAATGTGATTATCAAGGCATTGCCAAATTCTAATAATCATATTGCATTTTGGGACTATCTATGGTGTTTATTTTTTCATCACGGCCTAATAAAATTTAGGGTGATAAAGCCATTTAAAAACTGCTAGTGGAATTGCAGAAAGGTTTGGGAGACTTATTGACAGCATTGCCATGGTCACCCAAGGGAGAGGGGGCTATAGCATTATCTGAGTTTCATCCTTGTTATTTTTTTTTCTAACATTTTTTACATACTATAATTTCATCCATATTAAGTGTACAAATTCAGTGATTTTTACCAAATTGTTAGAGTTATGCAACCATCACTACAAACCAGTTTTAGAAGATTTCCATCACCTCAGTTAGATCCTCAGTGCCCATTCACACTCCCTGTTTCCATTCCCCCACCCAGGCAATCATGAATCTACTTTACAGCTCTACAGATTTGCCTTTTCTAGTCATTTTATATAAGTGGTCTTTTGTGTGTTGCTTCTTTCACTTAGCTTAATGTTTTTTGAGGTTCATCCATGTTATAGCACCTTTTTTAAAATTGTATTAGCTGAGTGGTATTCCATTACTCTTTTTTATGTAGAGTATATTTAAGCAATTCAAACATTGTCATACATAGATCTCTAGACTATTGACCAATTAAAGACTTTTGAGTTGAGAGAGGAATGTTCAGGACTAGGATAGGAGCATATCTATTTGAACTTTGGACAGTGTCCATCTTTGTTTCCAGGTATTATGGCTACCTTTTATTGAAGAAAACAAAACTGGTGGTATGCAGTTTAAATATCTTCCCACCCCATAACCATGTCTTTTTTGGTATTGAAACTCAGAATCTCTAATCAGAGGTATATACATACATTCTGGTGAATGTGTGGGTCATGAATAAATGCTCATTTAAAAAGAATTATATGATTTTTACATACTATGTAAATGAAAATTATATTCATAAATATTTATATATACCTATTTAGGCAATTTATATATAAATGAAGGGTAAGAAAAGTTTATACTCATAATTTTTCTATCCAAATCACTATTTGTAAAGATACTGCCTCCTCTCCCCTCCCCAAGTAGGGAATATTTCAGTCCTTCGCCCCAAGTCATTATGAAATAAGAACTTGCTGAAGATCACAGAGTTGGAGGAGGAGGCTGCTGTGCTTTCGGGTTTGGTTTTCCAGCTTATGCTGGCTATTTCCACAGTAGTAGGGAATGATGAGAGAATGGCAGAAGCCAGGGCTTTTCTAAACTTCTCCTGAGGTTTTTAAGGTTATCCTAATGAAGAAACCATTCAAGAGACTTTGTGTGATCAACTATACACCTTACTATTTTTTTTCCTGGAGGCTTGGTCATAGTTTGATGTTTCTTTTTATTGTCTTATGTTCCCTTGAGGTCTCTAATATTGACAGGTTCTTTCTTACACTGTGCTCTTTGCCCAGCCTAACTCATAAGGCACAGAAGTCAGGAGAACCTAGTGTGAGACAGGAGTGAGTCGTAGCGTCATCAAATGTCTACAGTGTTAGACATTTCTTGCAGTATCTCACTATCTTTCTGTACTTAGTTCTGGTAGTGAGGTAAAAGGGGATCTATAAAATACCTGTTCTATCAGTTCTTACTGATGATTTGTTAATCAGAGAAAAACCTGTGTTAAGTATTTACCATTTAATTTTGTACTGGGTGGGACTGTGTTTAAAACTGTAGTTATAAAAGCTTAAGCTTCTAAATTCAGGAAGTAAAATATTTAAAATATACTTGAAATACTGATTAAATAGATGTGTGGTTTGGGTAAGTGAATAAAATCTATCTGCTACTTAAAAAGAACTCAGAATCTTTACTTTAACTAACTTAAAACTGCCTTCTCAATTTCTAGCATGTACAGAAAATATGATTCAACTAGAATAAAGACTGAAGAAGAAGCTTTTTCAAGTAAGCGGTGCTTAGAGTGGTTCTATGAATATGCAGGTAGGTGATCACTTATATCATCTGAGACTGATCCTCCTGAAAGTAGGGACTACCGTAGAGGAGATTAGGAAATTGGAAATGTGTACTTTTTGAATTTGGGTTGTGTGTGTGTGTGTGTGTGTGTGTGTGTGTGTGTGTGTGTCCCTGTTTGAGGGAGGGAGAGAACATCATTGAAATAAATCATCAAATGTCCTATTTATAGCCAGCAGCTAAGCCAAAGAACTCAGAACACTAGAAGCGAACTGAAAAGATGAAATGCACTTTGGAGAAGTACTTTGGATTGCTAGGAAACCTATTCAGATGCTGGTAATGGGTGATTATTTGGTTTACACATTGAAGTTAAAATAAGCTTTGCTGCTTTGAACCATTATGCAATGCAACAGAATTTCTTATATTAAGTGTCTCTATTTTGAAAGATCTTTTGGCAGAAAATGTTTGTTTTTTCACTTAAATGTGTTAAATTCAGTCCCAGTTTTGCAACTTACTATAATTGGTTGGCTGGTGTAATACTGAAATCTAAGGTTTGGTTGTTTTTGTGGTTGTGTGTGGTGTAAAAGAGAGAAAGAAAAATTTTCAGACAAGTTTGAGCTGGAGGTTCTTTTTCTCATTCCTAGTTCTAACTTACTTCCTATCAACTTCACTATCCCAGCATCCTTCAAAGCAACGTTCCTGTCATCAGTCCACCCCGCCCCACCCCACCTTACAAATCCCTGCTGCCTACAGGATAAAAGAACTAGTTCTCTGGGAGCCCATTGTCTGGAGTGCTTTTCTCCATTTTTCCATCTGACAAGATGCTCTGTAACTATAAATCCCCCTAATTAGCCTAATAGCCCTTGTACTTCTCCAGGACATTGCTCATCACTAGTTCTGATACCATTTTATTGGGTATCAAAGTGAGGATTCCTCCTATGGCCCGATCTTGCCACCCTCCCTCCCCCTACCCTTTTTTTGGTAAGAGCCTTGCCCCTTTTGGCCACAGAAATTGTTCCGGGGCTGACAGATAATCCAGGCCTGGCCAATCAGGCAAAATTTTCTGGGATTATCAGGAAGCTGAGAGAAGAATCTTTCTCTTCTGATGTGGACTTGGAAGGATGTGATCCTGATTCCTGTGGTTCATTGGAATTTCGTGAGCTACCCCAATGTCTTTCTAGTGAATTCGCCTTCATTACTTGAACTAGTTACAGCTAGATTTTGTTTGCAGGGCATAGACACTAGTACAAAAACTTACTTAATGTTAGACTTTATCTGTTTTCACATTTATGACAAAAGAACATGAATCTCTTGAAGACATTTGTCTTCCTAGTAAAAGTGTTTGAGCCCTGGGCTCAGTGGATAGAGTGGCAGCCCACACACCAAAGGGTCTCAGGTTCAATTCCTGGTCAAGGGCACATGCCTGGCTTTGCAGATTTGGTCCTGCACTGGTTGGGCTGTGTTCAGGAGGCAACCAATCGATGTGTCTCACATCTCTCTCTTCCCTTCCCCGTCCCCCTCCCTCCCTTCTACTCTCTGTAAAAATCAGTGGAAAAAATATCCTCTGTTGAGGATTTAAAAAAATAAAAAAGGCACTTTTCCAGGTGTTTGGTACACGGATGCTGAATGAATGAAGAATTTTCTGATATTTGTATCATTTTGATTATGAAGATCTTTTGCTTTTTTCTTGGCTCACAATTTGTTGTTATGAAATGTATTTTTAAAAGGATATTTTAAACATAAAAAGAACACTTAATCCCACCATCATAGCACAGTTATTTTGATTTTTTTGTGTGTGTCTTCCTTTACAAGTAAGCATAAATTTTTCCATAGTATAAGCCACACTTCTGTTTTCTTTAAAAAGAGAGCAAGCAGTCTACAATTTTCCTTCTTGTTTGCTTTTCTCTGGCCCAGAAAGATGACATTTGGGATAAAGCTTAAGCCACATTCTTTAGTTTCCCTGAGGTCCTGGTTGGTTGGTTCCTGGTAGTCCATTCTCAGAAGGAGTTTCTGGGGGTGTGGCTAGCTCTATTTTTACACCTGCCTCCTTTCCTTCTTCTGTATCTTATCAGTAGGGAAAGTGGTTTGAAATTGGGAATAATTAAAAGTTCAAGTGGTATCTTCTTCACTTTTAAAATCCCAACTACATGAGTGAAAACTATAGGTCAGTATTATTCAAGGATGACTTACAGGTTGTGCTGCAGAGTGAGTCTGTGGGAGCCCGTCTGTGAGGCCACGGCTCCCTGGAATGAGGAGGGCTTCACCACCGCTGGTGTGTGCACTTTCACTAGGAGCCAGCCAGCTGGTTTGGGCTGACTCCTGTACTTTAATCTGGAGAGGAGTGGAGGGGCAGCAGGGGCCTTGGTATGTAGTTGTTTCACATGGATGGACCTTCAGTTCTTTGCTGAGCTGTCCGTTTCACTCCTCACCTTGCTGACTGCTGTCCATGGCTTCTGCAGCCTGAGCCCTGCTCTCCAGCTCCTGCCTGGCCAGTTAACCCCAGCACGTTCTATGATGTGGACAAAATCACTTTAAAGTGGGAGGGTAAGTTGGGAGGACCACTTTTTTCTAGGTTATTGTGAGTATGTCTGCCTTCCAAATATATCTTCAGTATCTGTCACCTGGGCATTCCATAGCTTACTTTAGGTACAATGGTTTTGTAAACCATCTTCCTCAAACCCTACTTCTAACCTACTTTGTGTTAGTCAGTGGCATATTTGTTAGAATGCAATTGCTCAATTCTACAAGGGAATTGATAAATTCAGTATAAATATTACAATAATCCCAGTGAACAATGTGATTACAGATAGATCTAAATAAGTTCATGAGAAAGATTAATGAGATGAAAGAAGAAGTTTTTTTAAATAGGATTATGGGTAGCTTTTTAATAATATTAATTGACAAGCTATATTTTAGGTTTTTTAGGATAAAATAATTACTTTTGGCAAGTCATACCATTGCAAATCCTACTGTTGAAAACTTGTTGCTTTTTCAAAACACACAGGGAAAATGCATACAATTAATACGACAGTGGCATTGCATAAAATGTAGAAAAAAGGAAGAGCATGGATAATTAACATTCCTGCACAGTGTACATCAGCAGACCTTTCTTTGAGGGCTTGCCATGTGCCAAGCTCGGAGGTTCAGTGAACAGAAGCACTGTGCTCATTTTCTAGTGTGACAAATGGACAAACGGAGAAGCATCATCTTTGTAATGAGTATTGACAGAGCGGGGAGGCAGTAACCAGGAGGGAGGGAGCAAGGGGCGGAGAGCAGCCTGGAGACTCCCAGGCCTGGTTGCACAGGCACGGGAAATGCAGGTGGCTGGCCAGGCTCAAGAATAGGTTACAGTGAAAGAGCTTTTATAAAATCAGCCAAAATGGAAGCCAAAGAGATTAAAAAGTAACTTTTTATTTTTAGCTCTATGCAACCACTTTCCGTGAGTCCTATTGGTAAATAACAAAAAGGCATCTTTTCCTAAAAACAAAACCTCTTAGCAAAATAAAGACGGATGGCTATTTCCTTGTGAGAATAATTATTCTTTAATCTTATAGCCTAAGTATTTTATAGTAGTAGAATGATGAACATACACACACACACACGCACACACACACACACATTACACACATTACATACAGTGGAGTAATGGAAAATGTGTCTGTTAACAAGAACAAAGTAGATGCAGAGGTATTCTCACAAGGAAGATTATCAGACATACTTAATGAAAAAAGCAAGATGTAGAATTTATAGATATAGCATGAACCCATGTGTATAAATTTAAAACTGCATTTTGTGTATTTGCACATACATGAATACATAACAGTAAGGTCTGGGAGAATACACACCTAATTAATAAGGAAAAGGAGAAGGCAGGCTTTCTCTTTTTTACTGTATTTTACTCAGTCTTTCTCTATTTGAACATTTTACCGCGTGAATGTATTAATATCTTCTTGGTGTAACATATACGTGAATGTGTGCATGTGTGTATATGGGCTCTCAAACCTAAAGCTAGCAAGGTATCAAATGATAAAAATGCTAATTGGATTCACATTTGAATCAAGAATGAGATAAGAAATTTTATTTGCTATTGTTTTGTAAGTTATTACATAGTGTTGTTAGATAAGAGAAAGAAAGAAGGGGCATAAATATTGAAAAGAAGGAGACAAAAATGATCATTTGTTGGAGATGAAATTATTAAATTATTGTATACCTGGAAAGCCAAAGAGAATTGCCTGGACAGATTTAGAAACAGAAAATAAATATGTATGTAGAAACTTGGTTTGGGAAGGGTTCTTAAAGGGATTCTTTAATAAATGGTTGTCTCTGGAGAGTACGGAGGGATTAGAGGGGAAACTTTTGCTTTTTAAATATTTTAATTTTTCGCTTTCACTTTTAAATGAGATTTTGTCTCGTGTTTATATGTTAATGTAGCAAAAAAGTAACTAAAGTAAAAATTAAGTAAACTTTTATTTGATGCGATAACTTTTCCTCTAATAATCAAATTAAGAAAGTTGGGAATACATAGAAAAATATGTAAAATAAAAGGAGAAAAATAATTACTAGAAAAAGGTCAGAGGGCGATAAGGCTCTGGAATTAGGGTGATCCTGAAGAGACTGCTGGGTAACCTCAGTGAAAGGAGAGAGCCTGAATAGGTCAGTGCAGGATAGGTCCAATTAAGACGTATTTCAAAGGAAAGATTTTGAATATTGATTGGATGCGGAAAGTGGGTAAGGGAAGAATCCAGGATGACTCCTAGGTTTCTATTTCTGGTGGTACCACCAGTTGAGACAGAATACAGGAGGATAAGCAGGCTTGGCATGGAGAGATGATGGGCTCAGTGAGGTGATGGTAGAAAATGTGAAATGCAGGAGGAGTAGTTTGGGGCAGAAGATGAGTTTAGTTGTGTTAGTTAAAGAGGAGGTGATGTAGACAGCCCAAAAGTCAGGGGGAAAGTGTGGGCTAGAAAGAGATCTGGGTGGTAGTACCTGAAACCTCAGATATGGTTGAAATTTCCTAGGGAGAGTGTATAGAACGGATTAGGAGAGGTTTAAGGATGGAACTATGCATATCACATTTTACAAGTTGGGAGAAGCAAAGGACCCAACCCATAAAAAAGCCAAGGCGGAGAGGTGGCAAAACCAGAACAGAGGGCACTTCCAGAAGTCGTGGAGGAGACAAGTTTTGTGAAGCGAGAACTTCAAATGGTCAGGTATCACAGAAAAATCTAGTAACATAAAGATGGACTGTTACATCTATTACTTTTGACAATTAGGGGGTTGTTAGTGACTTTGCAGGTGACCTTATCTTTAGACATAAATTATGTCTATCATATGTCCATAGGTTGAGGGACATGGCAATGATTTGACTTAAATGATTGTGCAGAGTACACAGATATGCCAGAATATTTTTCAATTTATACTTGATGATTTCTTTCTTCAGAAAGGAGTTCTAGTCCTTAATTGTTATTTGATTTTAGTTTACTTGGATAATAAATATTTTGACAATATAATCCTATCACAGTAGTAATAGTGCACATGGTTAGATTTAATTTATATAAGATTGCATTTCACCACAGGTACTGATGATGTTGTAGGTCCCGAAGGCATGGAGAAATTTTGTGAAGACATTGGTGTTGAACCAGAAAATGTAAGTCTAACTTATTAAGTCGAGTCAATCAGTTGATTGTTTTTCTTAAGTCTTTTGTCCCTTGACAAATAAAGCAACAATAAAAAAAGTAATGGTGTGTTTTTATGAAGCAATCTAAGAAATAGGTTTCAATTCTAATTTGATTTGTAAGTGAAATTTTTTGTTGGTATGGTGTACAGTCATTTTTCTCTCATGTTTAATTTCTTGTATCTAAAAGGTACAGTAGTAAGGTCGTTAAACTAGATTTTTAAAAAGTGGTGTGTGCATGTGTATCTACAGTGACAGATCAGCTTGGGGACTGGACACAGCATGTGTCCCTTTGTTTCCCTCCCTATTTGCCTCAGCCTCATGTAGTTTATCTAGGACTTTGAATAAGGGTTTTGCGGAGGTTGTAATTATCAAGAATTTTTCATGGCTCTTTAACTTCCATTTTAATTTACCTCAAAAAGTGATTGTTTTTTGGTGTAAAGGCCCTAAGTACTTCACTTAAAAAGTTTAATTAGAATTTATTTTATATGCTTAATTACTTTTGCCTAATTCTTATCACCATGTTATTGTTGAATATTTTTTCCTGTTCCCACATCTACTCTCTTATACTAAAATGAAAAATTTTGCTCATACAAATGCCCTGGATCATTAACTGTGCAGTTGAATATTACATTAGCCTTTAATTTTAACAAATACGCCTTAGATCCTAAATGAATTTATGACCTGGGAGTGATCTCGAGATCATCCCCTTCATTCAGACTGTTTGCAGGATATCTGGTGCCCATGCATATATGTCATGCTCTTAAAGAAAACTAGGAATTGAGACTTCACATTTTTTTATTAAAACTTTTCTTTTTTTATCCTTACCATTTCTGTGCCTCTGCTCTCCTCCACATCCCCCTAATAACATTTTCAATGTCCTAAAGAGCCTTTGGAATATTAACTTTATTACATGGATTTTTGTCTTGTATTTTAAAATTTAATGTGATCTAGTTCAGGTATCTAGATAAATTATTCAGCTTGGCGTAAAGGTTTAGGGACAACTGGGTCAGTAGTATTTTGCCTGATCTGGTCCATAGACACTCATAGACATAGAAAGTAACATTCCTAATGAGAGCTGCGTCGAGGGGGCAAGGTGTTTTTTTGAACAGTATGTGTGAGCTGGGCTTGAGAGAGGCTACAGAGATTCCACCAGAGAACATCTGTCCACGTCTGATCAGAAGGATGGGCAGCAGGGCCAGCGGTGAGGAGGTTAGGAGGCTGGGGTCAGGCTGCTTGTATAAAAGGGATTGTGTGAGCACTTATACTCAGAGGTGGAAAGGCCTGTCGGTGTGAGGGAGTGCTGATGCTGGTTCTAACTGAAAAAGGGGGTCCTCAGCTCTCCAAAGTTCCTCACCTCCACATAGCAGTACTCAGTAAAAGAGAGCTGAGTAATGAGTCCTTTTGGGCCAGTAAAAGGACTCTTTCTGTAAAAATAGTCTTGAAATGTTGAATCATGTACATTGAAGACTCAAAGACCAAATTTAGAATATTTAAACTATTTATTACTGTACTTCAATTCTAAGGTGCCACTCATAGAACTTATATAAGTTGTATCATCACTAAGAAAGAAAAAAATGTTGCCAAATAAACTCAGATATCCCATTAATTGGGGATACATTATAATTTCAGAAATATTAACATTTGAAAAAGGAGCAAAAATAGTTTTTAAAAGGCCATTTGCATCAATGAGTAAGCACCTTAAAGTATTTAAAACTCTCACCTTGCCTGATATTTATAGCTTATAGAGTTGAAGCAGGTTGTAAAATTCAAGTCTACTTTCATTTACTAAGGTAACAGCAAGATCTTTTATTTAAGTAGTTAGCTTTCTTATTAGCCATTAAAAGAAAAGGTCTGTTGTTTTGTGTAAAGAAATGCCCATGGTGAACGTCTGCTTTGGCAGTTTAGACACATTTCATGTGCACTGTCTGTGTTCTTGTGTCTTCACCATTTTTTTAAACATGTTTATGTGGAATTTAAAAAATCTTTCCAATAGATGTTTGAATGTAGATATTGAGAACATACCAAGTTTGAATTTAAAAATGTGGGTTAGTTCAAGAGATGAGGAGAAAATCCTCTACTGTGTAAGTATTTTGAAGAACATATAACTTCTTCTTTTGGGGAAATTCTTCTAAATAGCCCATCAGTCTCTTAAGTTACCATTTTTAAACTATTTACCAATCATTTTGTGACAATGTACATAATAATGTAAAAGCATTGACTTACTAATCAGTCCTCATAATCTACCTAGTAATCTAGATTTTTGAAATCTAAAGCACCTAGTGACTTAAATTAATATGTACTGATTTAATTAATATTTGATGAAAGGAAATTTTTAACAGAAAAAGTACACTTAATCCTGCCATCATTCTACAGCTGTTTGATGTTTATATGGTGCCTCACAGGGGAGATTGGGCCCTGCCGCTCCTCCTGGGCCCAGTCCAGGCATAGTGCTATTTATGTGGGCCTTTGGGCTACTTTACAATAATTCCCCTAGTCTGCACATTGAATTTACAAACATTAATGTATTTGTGATACAACTCCACTGTATGTGTCTCAAGTGTGTATCTCACCACCCACCTTTTAATTTTTTAACTCTGTTCTGCACCTTTCTCTTTTCATTTAATAAATCTTAAAGATTGTTCCCTATTTGTACCCATAGGTCTACTTTGTCATAATGGGGGCATAGTATTCCTTCTTGTGGAATGTATTTAGCAAAGAAGTATGCAATAACTAGTCCCTTATTTATAAATGTTTGTTTCCAATCTTCTGCTTCTACAAATAGTACTATGGTCAGCATTGTTGAATATACACGTTAATGTATATGTGCAGGTATATCTATAAGATAACTTTCCGTAGGTGGAATTGCAGAGTCAATTACTGGTTTTAGTTTTGATGCACTGCAAAATTGCCCTCTGGGAAGGTTAATCTCTTTACACTTTCACCAGCACGCATCATAAGAGTTTGTGTTTCTCCAAACCCTTATCAGCAGGCTGAATTATCAAACTTACAGATGATTGCCAATCTAGAACTCATTTTTTAAGTTACTCTGTTCATATTTTAGTGACTAAACTACCATGAACAGAAGCATTTGGCGAGATGCTAATGTATTTAATTGCTGAGGTCTGTTGTTCTGATTTGATTGGGCTTTCTTTTTTTTTAAACAGGTAGTTATGCTTGTCCTAGCTTGGAAATTGGATGCACAAAATATGGGTTATTTTACTCTACAGGAATGGTTAAAAGGAATGACTTCTCTACAGTAAGTCCTAAGACTGTACTGGGGGGTCACTACTCTCCCAAGCTGGCAGCCTCTTCCCTGGGATCTCAGGGAGCCTGGGTTGGGTGACTGGATGAAGGCCAGCTGATCTGGGCAGACTTCTACTGGGGCCATGTGTCATTTTTATATGATGAGGAGGGCTTTATGGTTGGATTTTAGCAATTAATGTTTATGTGAGTGTATATTATTTATTTTCATATTCTAGAGCAGCCCTACCCAGTAGGAAATAGACTAGCCTTTTCTCGTATATGTGAACCATATAGGTAATTAAAAATTTTCAATAGCCACATTAAAAAAGTGTAAAAAGAAACAAGTAAAATTAATTTTAATATATTTTATTTAACCCAAATTATTATCATTCCAGCATGTAATAAATAGTTTAAAAATCAATGAACTATTTTGAATTAGCTGCATTTCAAGTGCTCAGTAGCCACATGTGTCTAGTGGCTACTGGATTGAACAGCCCAGGGGTAGAGCTTAAACAGCAAAGGCTTATTAGAATCTGGTTTATAGTTAGTGAGAAAAAATTGAGAAAAGTGTAACTTATAAGTGAAAATGTTTGATATCTTCTATTTTATATATTCTGTGTTAGCTTAGGGCAAAATTGGAACTTCATTACTCTAGTGATTAAAAAATAGTAATAATAAAGATTCTGTTTGTGTTACCTGGCCCAGAATAAGATAAAAGTCAGTGGTTTTATGTGTTCCCTTTGTGCTTATGTGTATGTGTGTGTGGTGTGTCTGTGGATGTATGTGTGTGTGTTTGCTGAGAGTTTCATTCAAGAAAACATAAATTGTTATTCTATGTTTGCATTGAAGGATACAGTTGAGGTGGATAACTAAACATTTCAAATGGCTGGAAGATATATAGCTGTGATCTAGAGTACTTGGAATAACTCCTCTTTTCCTTTTCACTTTAAGTGGGAATAAGATTTCAATTTTTATTAGGTTAAAATTGAAGTTGAAGTGGTTTTATTTAAATAATTTTGGAATTTTTGTCAACTTTTAGTATCATTGTCCATTTGTTATTGATAATAATGCTTATTTGTTTTGCACTTTAGTAGTTTATGAAGCCTTATCACTGTTTTCCCATGGCTATAGGGACAGATCAGGCTTGAGCCTTGTGCACTTTACAAATAAGGAAACTGAGGCTCAGAGGGAATACGTGATTTGTGAAGTAAGTGGCAGAGGTGGGAAGAAAACCCAGTACTTCTGATTCTGAAGTCACATTCTTCTTCTAACAGCTGTTGGCTGATGGCAAATGAGTTTTAGGTAAAAGCCAAATCACCTTTTTACAAATACACTTTCCTGTCAGCATGTTCTAGAATTTTAGGGTTAAGTCTCTGAAATCTCTAAAATTGTGTCGTCATGTTGGCAGACTACTTATGATTTTAAGCCTTCAACTCTTTCATTGTTTTCCTCGCTGCCTTTCTTCGTGGCTTTCTGAATAGAGTACGTGGTGGCTGCTCATTTTTCCTTTTTTTATTTTTTAAAAATATATTTTTATTGATTTCGGAGAGGAAAAGAGAGGGAGAGCTAGAAACACCAATGATGACAGAGAATGATTGATCAGCTGCCTCCTGCATTGGGGTTCGAGCCCACAACCCGGACATGTGCCCTGACTGGGAGTTGAACCGTGACTTCCTGGTTCATAGGTCGATGCTCAACCACTGAGCCACTCCGGCCAGTTTCATTTCTTTTAAGAGAGTATAATATTTATTTTTTTATATAGCTTTAGATTCTTTTTTACATTTGCCTTTACAAAAGAATATTGCACGATGCCAGCCAGGCCTTGCCCATGTGTTTTGAAGGCCTCACCACCTGGGAAGTGAAATACGCAGTTCCTGGAAGAGGCCTACGTGTATGTTGGGGGTGGGGAGCACTTCACAGGCTTTTTGTTGAGGACTCTACTTGGTGGCAGGTGGGTTCCTATAAAATGCAGGGTGTCGTTTCAAGCCTGCTCCTCTAACGGTGCTGAGGAATCTGCTTTCTTTTTGTGATATGAAACTCTTGAGACTGGTTTTCTCATCAGTGAGGTGGAGATAATTACTCAGAATAATCTGTAAGGTTCTTTGTAGTTCAAAAATAGACCAATTTCATGTTTTAAGAACCCCTCTCCTTCCTCCTTCCAGCCTCCCTAGATTTATTATTTGTTCAGCAAATATTTGAATGATAGTGATGTGCCAAGCACAGTATTCTAGGTTCTGGGGAAACAAAACCCATGAGCAAGACAAAGCCCATTCAGGGTTGGGGCGTAGAAGCAATGTTCAGGCAAAAGTAATAAGGCTAGTTCTCTTTATGCTACTTGAATTAATAAGTTCTGTGTTTGTAAGGTGTGCACACTCAGTAAATAAAAAAACTCAAGCCAATCATTTATATGCTCTAAATGGAAACGTTTGGATTCAAACTGGATTTAAAGTATGTATACGATAAAATATATAGTCACATATATAGTGTATATGTGTGTATATATATATATATATATATATGTAGTGTCTATATACTAGTATAATTTGATATAAATGCTTTTTTAAAAAAATTGTTGCTGTACAGTGGAAGTGTACTAGAAATAACTCATGGATTTTGGAACCAGATAGTTTTGAATCAGTTCTGCTCCTTCCTGGGTGTCTGTCTGATAGCATTTCTAAAACCAGGACAGTGAAGTGCTGAAATGTGGCATACACTTGGGCACTCAGAAACTAGCCTTGACTCGTCTCCTTGACACTGTGTAGACAGAGTTGTGGGTGTGGCCTCTCTGGTTGGGAAGAAGTGTCCCCACACTCCCTAGGCCATTCTCAGTCAGGGAAGACACATTTCTTGTTTTAATTGATGGTTTATTTATTTATTGCCTTGTTCCAACATGCATTAAGGCTACTGCTGATGAATTAAGCTTTATAGTACTGATTTTCAACCGGTGTGCCACAAGAATTTTGAAAACATGCAATATCTGACTATTTAGTCAGAGGGACTAACCTCTTTTCCCTTTGATTATCAAGTTTAAAAATGACAACAACCAACAACAATAGCTGCCCGTTGTGAATGAATCAAAATTATACCTAATTTTTTTGTCAGATTGGGAATATATATAGTTTTGGCGTGCCACAGAATTTTAGTCATTGGTTTACATGTGCTGTGAGATGCTAAAGATTGAAAATTGCTGTTTTGTAAGGATGTTTAAGCTAAAAACGAAGTGTGTTAGCGTGGTAGCTAACTGCATAGAACTGATGGTAGGTAGGGAAAATATCTTTGGGTTGACTGAGTAAAGGGGTGAAGGCCTTTTCCACAAAATGGGGGAGAACGTCCTTTGATTTTATAACTTTTGAGGATTATTGTCTTGATTTATGTTTACTCCGAATGTGTTTGTGTCAGTGAAACTCAAGAAATGATCCCACTGTATGTGTATATTTTGTTTGGTAGCAGTGTGGCACTGTCACTCTGCAGCATCTGTGTCCTTATGCATGGTTCACAGAAAGGATTGAAGATATGGCTGCTTCCTGAAAAATCTCTGCTGGTTGCTTACTTTCTAAGCCTGTTTCTTCACAGGCCCTTTGTAAGAGCTGACACTTCTGCTAATGATCTTGTTGAGTGGCCACTAGATGGCAACCTCTGGTTCAGACCTGGTGACTCAGTGGCCTGCTTCCCAAGTGGTTGGTCCAGAGGGTCTGCCTGACAAAGTCCTTTTTAAAGCAGATTAAACTCTTTGTTGACAATATCATCTCTAACCCAGGTAACTATCCTTTATAGATAAATAAAATTGAAATGTTACTTTGGGCATTTTGTGCTGTACACTCCAGACAAGATCTCTGGTCTTTGAAACACAGGGACATCTTTTGCCAGAGTGCTGGACTCACGCCCAGGCATGCTGCAGAACTTGACATTTTGCCTTGCAGCTCTACCCAAAGACTCGGAGCTTCTTTATTTCCTTTTAACTGTGTAGAAGTTATCTAAATGAGTGCTTCCTGTCCTTGAATTTGTTGAAACAAACAACTGCTCCTCTTCCCATTGAGCAGGACTGAACTAAATTACCCATCAAAATCTGGCCAATTTCCTGTGGCTTTGATACTTAACTTTCCTTTCCACTGAAGAGTAGGGACCTCGCTCGACCTTATGTTTTGGAGTTAGCATTGACCCTTCCCATATTATTAATATTATTTATTTATATACATGGTAATAAATAAAACCATACTGTAGAGTGCCCAATGCAAAGTGAGCTCTGCTCCCACTTACTGCTTTCTTGTGTATCCTGTCCTTTTATCCTCTATTGTCTCTCAGTTGGGTTCTGGCCCTACAGCTCAAATTAGGCTATCAGTTCTCCCCCTTTCTTCCAGAGTGAGCCTTTCAAAATGCAAGCCTGATCTGGTCTCTCCCATGGCAGGAGGTGGCTTCCATTGGCTCTAGGACTCAATTAAAAAATAAACACTGTGGGCCACAGAAACCCTTTATGGCCTGGTCCCATCTCCCTTTCAGCCTCATCTTGTACCACTTCCCCCTTACTCTACCTAGTCTACTTAACAATGGTTTTCTTTTCGTCTTTGGACTTTCTACACTCCCTTCTACCACTAGGCCTTTGCACATGCTGTTCTTTTTATCTGGAAAGCCATTCTCTCCAAAAACATTGAGTTTCTTCTTTTAGCTCTCAATTTACATGTTAGTTCCTTAAAGAAGCCATTTCTGACTTCTAAAATAGTCTGAGATAATATATATATATATATATATATATATATATATATATATATATTTAGTTTTCAAACATTAGCAAGAAATAAAGAACATTCGGTTTTGTTGTAGACTCACAAATGAAATATTTACTTTCATTTTTGGCTTTTAGATATTTTGTCTCAGTAGATCATGAGGACTTTTTTTATATTTAGCTTTCACAAATGTATTGCTAAAAATAGATCAGTGTGTTCTATTATGAACTATATTTTCATTTATAAAGTATTTACAATATTTACATTGATAATACTTGTCATATGTCTGGGCTATACTTAGTAGTAGATAAAAGCTCTACAGAGAAACAGGGAAATGCAGCATTGAAAAGCTTGAATATTGCTGGTGAAAGTAAGGACTCTTTGGTTCTCATTTTTTAAGAGCTAGATATTATAAGCAGAAAATCAGTTTGTAAAAATAACCAATTAGTGTACTTCCTTAGAAAAAGTAAACAGTGTGTCACTTTCCTGTAAAAATAGGTTATCACTTGAAATAGCTGATTTCAAGTCTGAGGTAGGGAAAGTACAAAGTGAGCTGAATATCTTGTGCCAGAAAGTGAGGATGTGCTGAAAGGCTGATGGGGGCATGTCAGAAGGACACTGGAGCAGCTTGAAGGGGCCATAGCTCAAATAAGAACAGTTTGTTCATCAAAAAGGATATAGACAGTAATAGCTTATAACACTGAATAAAAAGCAAAAATTCCTTAACTCCCAAAAAATAAGAAAGGTGTTGAGTAGAGCTCTTCTTTTGAGAAGAATTCCAGCCGTAAGTATAAAAGCATGATAGAGCCAAAACCGGTTTGGCTCAGTGGATGGAGCGTCGGCCTGCAGACTGAAGGGTCCCAGGTTCGATTCCGGTCGAGGGCATGTGCCTGGGTTGCGGGCACATCCCCAGTGGGGGATGTGCGGGAGGCAGCTGATCGGTGTTTCTCTCTCATCGATGTTTCTGGCTCTCTATCTCTCTCCCTTCCTCTCTGTAAAAAATCAATAAAATATATTTTTTTAAAAAATAAATAAAAGCATGATAGAGTTGGAAAAATCACCAATTTGGACCTTCAAATGTAGAATCAATTCAGCCAGCTATCATCAATGGATGGCAAAACCACCAAGTGAAGGTTTTTGAGGAACAGGATTCAGAGTCTTAAGATATCCCACAAACTGTGTACTATTTCAGAGGGAAAAGTGTCTTTACCTGGGGAATCTAGTGGACACCACTTTATCCAAATGAATCAGCTCAGTGTCACCAGTGATGGGACAGAGTGACGTGTCAGCCTCCTCCTGGGCTACACCAGGAAGGACATCATGTGTAGTTTTCTTACCATACATGCTTGACCTAAATACAACTATAGGAAAATTACCTGACAAATTTTTTTAAAAATATATTTTATTGATTTTTTACAGAGAGGAAGGGATAGGGATAGAGAGTTAGAAACATCGATGAGAAAGAAACATCGATCACCTGCCTTCTGCACACCCCGTACTGGGGATGTGCCTGCAACCAAGGTACATGCCCTTGACCAGAATCGAACCTGGGACCCTTGAGTCCGCTGGCCGATGCTCTATCCACTGAGCCAAACTGGTTAGGGCTTACGTGACAAATTGAGATTCTATAAAACAACTAGTCTGATCTCTTCAAAATGACATTTTCAAGAACGACAGCAAAAAGGCAGGACACCCTTCCACAGACTAAGGAGATATGACAACTAAAAGCAATGCATGAGTCTTAATTGGATCTTAATTGAAAGAAAGCCACAGCTATAAAGAAAATTGGGGGAACAATTGGGAAATTGACAATGTGGGTTGTATATTAGCTAAGAAAATTAACATTGATAGGATATTAAGTGTGATGATGGTATTTAAGTGTTTAGGGTGTCATTTTGTTGACAACTTGCTTTCAAATGGTTCAGAAAAAAGTGTGTGTATGTGAGAGAGAGCACAAGTGGGAATGTTTATTGTGAACCGGGGGGATGGGTATATGGGTGCTTATTAACGGTTCTTTCATCTTTCCTGTACAGTTGAAATTTTTAAAAATAAAAAGTGTAGGAAAAATAGGTCATTGTGGATGTGTCCCAACTCCAGAGTTTTTATTCTGTCTTTTGGTATTGTGTTTTTATATTACTGCCCCAATTAAGAAAAAACTCAGGTTATAATTTGCCTTTATTCTGTTTTTCTAGATGTGATACAACAGAAAAACTCAGAAATACTTTGGATTACTTAAGATCATTATTAAATGAGTCTACAAACTTTAAGCTTATTTACAGATATGCGTTTGACTTTGCACGGGTGAGTTCTCTGGAGCCCATCCAGATGTTTCCCTCTCCTCCCTCCCACTTCTGATTGCCTTTTGAGGATTGTTTTACATACTACATCTAAGAAGTTAAGTATATTACTCCCAGGACTCTAGTTACAGTTTCTTTCTACATGTACACTTTCTATACTAACTGATTCTGAGCAAAAATATAGTATGTTAGCACAAAGCTGTAGTGGCAGACTTTGAATGGCTCTTTCCATTGTCTTAGGCATAATTTGTAAATGGGCATGTAAAAGATAATAGACACTGTTCTAAGTATCTCTTAGATAAGCTTGGAAAAGCTCTTCTCGTGAAACAACAAACCTTCACCCATTGAGTTTATTGGAATGAGCTAATTAGATCTAATCTATTTATACTTTGGGTGCTATATTGTTTTAGAAATTACTTGACTTTTTTAAAAAAAATTTAAACCTAACCTAATTTCAATGAACATTATTCAAATGTAATTTCTAATCATTTTGAAAGTGATCATATTGTTACGTAGTCAATCAGGTTCAAGTATGTGACAGTGGTTCTATTGGTATGAAATAAGGTTTTATTTTTCAGCCTGATAACCTTAGGTAGAATTCTGGGTCACTAGTTAGCATTGTGTTCATTCACACACAATCCACAGCTCATACAACTATACTTTATTTAAGGATGGTGTTTTCCGTTGTTTGTGTGTTCAGTGGATTCAGGTGACTAGGCTTTCTTGATTGATTACTTTTTTGTTTGTTTTTTTGTATTTGTGGTTTATCCTCACCTGAGGATATTTTTCCCTTTTTTTTTTTTTTTTTAGAGAGAGGGGGAGAAGGAGGAGAGGGGGGAGAAAAATAAGAGAGAGAAATATTGATGTGAGACACATTGATTGGTTGTCTCTCACAGGCACCCCACTGGGGCCAGGGATCAAACCTGCAATTCAGGTGCGTGCCCTTGACTAGGAATCAAACCCCCACCTTTAATTGTAGAACCTGTGCTTTAACCACTGAGCACATGGGCCAGGGCTGATTACATTTTTAAATGAATTTTTTATTAAAGCAGAAAACTCAGTTTAAAAAAATGATTTTTCCCCCCTACCATCATGCTGATTTTTTCACATTTTACCTGCTTTGACATTGTCGATTCAACACAAAAGATTTATTCGGTGGTGAATTCTGGTGCATCTACAATAATACTTTAGTAGTTAACTGTGGTGTCTTCACTTGTGAATTTTTGCATTTATTGCAACCTTCAAATAAAATGACAATATGCATAAGAATTCTTGTCAGAAATTATATGGTAAAATTCAGCTATAATGTTTTACTGAATAGCATTTGTATATAGACGTGGTTTGCCACTGGATACTTTTAGAATAGATGCATAGTTTCTAGGATTAAATTTTTTTTACATGAGATTTTATTTTCCTTCCATAGTCAGCTGTTTCTTATTGTATAGGTCAAAATTTGTTTAGAAGCTTTACACCTAGAATATAGGGCTTATTTTCTAACTTCCCTGTTTGGGGGTCAAATTCTCCCATATGTCCACTGCTTTAGACCCACGTTCCACTTTATTCCTCCCTGGCTTCCCATCCCATCCTCAGTCAGTCTCTGGGCCCATCTCCTGAGGGCTCCTTTGGTTGCCTCTTCCTTGGTGCTTCTCCTACAGCCTCGCTGGTTGAGGCCCTTGTTACTCCTTGCCTGCGCTGCTACGCTAGCCTTATTTCACATTCTTCTCATCCAGCATTCACATCAGGAGGGTGTCATTCATCTTCCTTCCGCCCAGGGTTTCTCGGCCACCCTCCAGCTCACAGAAGCCTTCAGTACCTTCCCTCTGCCTTTGTGTCGCCTAGTGCTTCACCATGGGGTGGTGCAGTTGCTCCCACAGCACTCTGAGTGATAGACAGGGATTCTCTCAGTCTACTTCTCAGAGGAGGAAAGTGGGCTTCAGAGAATGGAGAGATGGGACTATGGTCCCATTATTAATCAACAGTAGACCCAGGACTCACACCCAGGGTCTGGCTTCAAGTCCAGTCTGCAGGTCACTCCAGGCCCTTAACAGTCCAGTCCCAAGCTTCCTCTCTTAGGCGATGCCTGCGTTGTAGTGAAGTTGAATTAGCTGCTTGTTCACTGAACCTGCCACCTGCCTTTTGGCCTTTCTGCTTTCTGTTTTTTGTCCCGCTGCATCTCTAGCTAGAGCCCTATTTATACTCACTCAGCCCTCTATATTGTGAGGCTTCTAAGCCCAAGCCCCATGCTTCCCCTCTCACACAGCCTTGCCTGCTTCTCCTTGCACTGGAGGGATCAGTGCATTCACTTATGTGGCATTTCTGTCTCCTCTGTCTAGCTTGGCTTTGGAGTTTAGGTAAAGGCCTTAATTTTAATTTTATCTGCCAAATTAAGGGACTGTCCCCAGGAACAGCCAGCGGGATTCTTTGCTTTTAAGGAAAGGATCAGTAAATATCAGTGAATTAAGCTGCTTTATGTAATGTTGAATAACAGCCACTGTTCAGCTAAATTATGCTATGAGATAAACTTGTTACTGAATCCCTTTTTTGATTTGTTTTGTTTAGCTCTAGCTCGCATGTTCGGAGACACTGTATGTTCATTTGCATTCGGTTAAAATAGTTTCCCCTGTAATTTTTTTTATTTTTTACTCTGGTTATTTCGAACATGTTATGTTCATGTTCTTTTCCAAGTTTTTAGGATTTTCCAAGTAATCTTTTTTATTATTGATATCTAGTTTAATTCCATTGTGGTAAGAAAGCATGACCTGTATAATTTAAGTTCACTTAAGTGTATGGAGGCTTGATTTATAGTCCAGAATGTGGTCTGCTGTGATGAATGTTTAATGTGGACCAGACAAGAAGGAATAGTCTCTGCTGCTCTGCGGAACGTGTCAGAGACATCAGTTAGGGCAGGTTGGTGGGTAGTGTTGCGTAGTCTTCTATATCCTTATTGATTTCTGCCTACTCGTTCTATCAATTACTGAGAGGGGAATGTTGAACTCTCCAACTATAATATTTCTCCTGTCACTTATACCATTACTTTTTGTTTCATGTATTTTGAAGCTCAGATATTAGGTAGAGATACACTTAGTATTATCGTGTCTTCTTGAAGAATTGGCCCATTATGAAATGTCTCTATCTCTGGTAATACCTGTTCTGAAGTCTATAGCCACTCCAGCTTTCTTTTGTTAAAGCTTGCAAGATATGTCTTTTTTCATCCTTTTACTTCTAACCTGTTTGTGTCTTTATATTTAAAGTGGATTTCTTATAGATAGCATACAGTTGGGTCTGTCTGACAATATCTATCTCGGAATGCTTAAACCATTTACATTTAATGTGATTTATGGTATGGTTAAGTTTATATCTCCTATCTTGCTATTTCTACCCCCCCCCCTCCACACACACACACACACACATTTATCCCATATGGTTTTTGTTCCTTTTTTCCTCTTTTCATGATTTCTTTTGGATTGAGGTTTTTTTGTGGTTTTTTTTTTATGATTTCCTTTTATTTCCACTATTGCCTTGTTAGCTATATATTTCTCTGTTTCATTTTTCTTGTGGCTGCTATAGGCTTTACAGTATGTATCTTTAAATTTTCAGAAGTTTTCTGCAAATAATAATTTACCACCTCATGTATAATGCAAGAACCTTTGCAGCAGTATGCTTTCATTTTGCTCTCCCATACTTTTTGCTGTTATTGTCATACATTTTACTTATACCTATGCTATAAATCTGACAATATATTATATTAGTCTATTTAGGCTATCCTAACAAATACCAGGGAGTGAGTAGTTTATAAACAACAGAAATTTATTTCTCACAGTTCTTGGAGACTGGGAAGTCTAAGACAGAGGTACCGACTGGTCAGACAGATTAGATGTCTGGTGAGAGCCAGCTGGCTGTAACCTTACAATATTGCAAGGGAGGAGGGATCTCTCCTGGGTCTCTTTTATAAGAGCACTAATCACACGCATGAGGGTGGAGCCTAATTAGCTCCCCAAGGCCTCACCTAATACTACTATCACTTGCAGGGGTTAGGGTTTTAACATGAATTTCTTTTTTAAAAAAATATTTTTTTATTGATTTCAGAGAGGAAGGAGGAAGTAGAGAGAGATAGAAGCATCAATGATGAGAGAGAATCATTGATTGGCTGCCTTTTGCATGCCCCCTACTGGAGATCGAGCCCGCAGCCTGGGCATGTGCAATTGACCAGAATCAAACCCGGGACCCTTCAGTCCTCAGACCGACGCTCTATCCACTGAACCAAACCAGTTAGGGCTTAACATGAATTTCTTATACATAGCATATAATTAAGTCTGTCTGACAATATCTGTCTTGGGATGCTTAAACCATTTACATTTAATGTAATTTATGGTATGGTTAAGTTTATATATCCTATCTTGCTACCCCCCTCCCCATTGGTCCCAAACATTTAGACCATAGCATATATTGTATTATCATTTTGGTAAAAATGTCTTTTATATTTACCCAAATATATATCAGTTCTGTGCTCTTCATTTCTTTTGTAGAGATAATAGATTTCTATCTGATATCATTTGCCTTCTGCCTAAAAAGTTTTCCTTAACATTTCTCATAGTACAGGTCTTCTAATGATGAATTCTCTAAGCTCCTATTTTTCCCTTCAATTTAGAAAAGTACTTCTCTGGATTAAAGATTCTAGGTTGATGGACTATTCTTTCAGTACCTTAATGATATTGCTCTATTGTCTTCTGTCTTGGGTCGCTTCTGATGATAAGCCTAGTGTTGTTCATTATTCCTTTGAACAGAACGTCTTGTTTTCTGACTGCTTTTATTCTCTTCACTGCTTTTCCCAAGCTGATTACAATGTGCGTTGGCATAATTTTCTTTATGTTGATTCTGGTTAAGGCTTGTTGAGGTTTTTTTAATATGTGGGCTTGTAGTTTGTATTAAATTGGGAAAATTTTCAGTTGTTATTTCTTTTCTTTTTAAAAAAATATTTTTATTGATTTCAGAGATAGAAACATC